ATTGCGTGCCACCTCAGACCGCCGCGTTCACAGCGCAGTCCCATTTGGTGCCGTGTCAAAGCTCCGACATGCGGACCCAAAAAAAAAACAACAACCAGCACCCCCCCTCGTGTAGCCCGGCACACGATAACGGCACGGATCGTGGTGATCGGGCGGCAACCTCACTCTGCCTTGCTTCCCCCTCCAAAACAACTGGAGCCAACACGATGCACCGGATACTCGTTTAAAAGCCGAGTCAACCTAAAGGGGAGACAGACCCACAACCACTCCCGTGATGCGCGCACGGCCGGCAATGTAATGTGTCAGCAAAAAATAATCTGAGGTGCAATAAATTGCCTTCATTCTCCATTCTCTCTCCCTCGCACACGCCAAGGTGCATTCTCCCTCGACTGGACATCTGTGGGGGGAAAAAGAGCTTTATAGATCATCGGATTCCTCCGGTATGAATACAGAAACATTCTGAAGTCCGCCCCCCCCCCCCTTCCCCCGTACAGATTTTCAGGCGGTTGGGGGAAAGTGCTCTTAGTGAGCACACAAATACAACAATCCCCCGTGTAGCCTTGACCAAGCCGTAGGGGCAAGTGCTATTAGCGAGCACACAAAGACAAAACATCCCCCGTGTAGCCTTGGCCAAGCCGCAGGGGCAAGTGCTGTTAGCGAGCACCCATTGTGGTTGTTGTGCAGCGCACGTAGCGGGGATTGTGGTTGGGATCACTCCGAACAACTCTCTTGGCACCCTTCGTCACGATCTTCACACACTGCTCCAGGGTACTCGTTTAAGGCTGAGTCTACCGAGGGGATGCCCAGGACACGTTCTGGTACCACTGTCGTTTTTCATGGCTGGGAATTGAACTGAGCTATGCGGATTCGTAGCGCAGCGCGCTAATCACCGGGGCACCGCTCCCCACGTCTAACCACAAAGACAAAGATCTCCCGTAAAGCCTTTACCCGACTGTTGGGAAGACAAAGATACCCCTATAGCCTCACCAGGTTATTGGGGCAAGTGCTCTTAGCGAGCAAATATGAAAGCCAGAACGGCACACGAGGGGGTGGGTGGCCAGCACCACGCACGGCCGCCTTTGTCTCCCGAGTGGCGATGTTTACACGCCGCACCAGGTACTCATTTGAGGCTGAGTCGACCTCAGGTGTACACACGCACACAAATGTGGCACAGCACACGACTATGTGTATACATTTAATTAAAAAAAAAACACACAAATATTTTACACACGTGTGAAAGCGTATTCTATACGCCAGCGTCTTAGCCTATCGTTTGTTTGTTAAGATGATCGCTTAGGATCGGGTTAAAAATACCAGGGCAGCGGTATCCATAGTGAAGCGACAACACCAACACACACTTCCCTCCTGTTTACCATCATCCTGAGACTTGGTCAACAGGGCTCTCGGCAGGAGGTCGCCGTGCTGATGCAAGCAATTAAGACGGCGTCCTTCTGGGCATTCACTCTGGCATGCACTACTCAGAGCCAGGCAGTCTTTTGCTATCCCTCCCTCAAAGGTAAACAGGGCGTCTAACAAGCACACCACGGGCGTGGGTATTTTAAGCTATAGCCGGCGCAAGCCGGTGGACAATTAATTGACCCCTGAAACTGAAATCTCTAGACAAGTGGGACTTTGCAGGACGAATGTTTCGCAATTTTTTTCTTCAGATTTCGATGGCTCTTTGTTGTTGTACTTTACACGTGCGTTTATAGTATTTCGCTGCGATATATTTCCACGTGATAAGCCACTTCGTTGGGCTACCATTTATGGCCAGGTCGCTTCTGAAAAAGAGCTATATAGCGCAGTGGGCCTTACCTGGTAAAATAAAATAAATAGTTAATAGTTTAGCATTATAATGTAATGCTTGTGTTTTAATAATCTGTGATTGCAGTTTAATACATGAGGAAATAATTGCGGCGTCATGAAACTAGTTTCCCAGATGTGTGGGCCCTCCTTTGCACATTATTTTGAAGGAAGTATCAGAGACGGGAGTAATAATGCAGTTTGTTTCATTCCATATGGGTTTAAAAAAAATCATCAAATGTTGGACTTCAACAGAATATAAAATAATTGTAATGTCAACTAAGAACAATGACGCACGTAAATAATAATGGCAGTATTTTCTTCTAACTGATGGAAACATAACATTTTAACAAAAGTTATTATCTCCATATATATAAAAGGCAAAGTTGCGATTATGTGTGTCTGTTCAAAATGTTTAGCCTACTTCCCGACATGCAACAAACTTGAAATTGGCCATGTGGGTACTTTCCAGACTGTACACCATGAAAAAATTATAAAAATACACTTTTTTTGGGGGGGGGGGAGCTCAATAATGCATATTTTTTTTGCACGGCAAGTGAGCTGTGACGTCAAATCTGTCATTTGACGCGCCCATGTGGAAGCGTAACGCATTGTAGTGTAGCGGTTAGCGCGCTGTGTGTGTCTGTGTGTGTGTCTGTGTGTGTGTCTGTGTGTGTGTCTGTGTGTGTGTCTGTGTGTGTGTCTGTGTGTGTGTCTGTGTGTGTGTGGAAGCGTAACGCAGTGTAGTGTAGCGGTTAGCGCGCTCTGTATGTGTCTGTGTGTGTCTGTCTGTGTGTCTGTCTGTGTGTCTGTCTGTGTGTCTGTCTGTGTGTCTGTCTGTGTGTCTGTCTGTGTGTCTGTCTGTGTGTCTGTCTGTGTGTCTGTCTGTGTGTGTATGGAAGCGTAACGCATTGTAGTGTAGCGGTTAGCGCACTGCGCTACGAACCCGGCGACCCGAGTTCGATTCCCGATCACGGCCACCACCGGTGACGATTATTTTTATCGGTCCTGGGCCTCCCCTAGGTCGACTCAGCCTCAAACTATTAACTGGTGTGGTGTGTGAACATCGCCACTGGGGAGGCAAAGGCGGCCGGGCGTGGTGAATCCAAGTCCGGGCGAAGCCGGGTAGTAAAGCTAGTTAATTATAAACTGTTGTGCCATTTATGAATAAAAAATTAATAACATAACCACGGGAGGATTAAATGTGAGCAGAATGCTATAGCATATGACTTGCTAAATAGTATTAAATGTCTTTGTTTCATGTTCAATAAATCACATTTTCTCGGGCATGAGCGGTGGTGGATTGGTTCGTACACTGCACGATTAACCCGGTGACCTGAGTTCGATTTCTGTCCATGGCTCGCATCACTGAACCAATCTTGGGTCCCCTCTTTAGCAATCTACACTGACCAGTGTGGTGAAGTATGGTCAAACAATCCCCATGACTGACACAGTGTGGGGAGGCCTTCATCCAGCCATGGATTGACCAATGGCTTAAGTTGTTATTTTATTAAGTGAGAATCAATTGAGACAACCAACACAATTTACACGAACTGATGATACGAATAACTAAAAATGCTCACACTAAACCAAATAATAGGATACTAAAATGTAAAATGTATCAACATTTCAATACCATGCATATGCAGCCGGCAACATGGTCGCTTGTTGCAAATTTAAAATATAAATTGAAAACTAATTTCCATCTCTACACATTAAACAAAAATAAAATTATTCTCCCACAACCAATCAGCCGCACGGCCTTCTGGGAGCGCTTCATTTCAGCAGCATTGTTTCGAGACGAGCAAACTCTGAACCCGTTTTGACATACCTATACAATGTCTAAGTATTCAGCTCCAACTTACGACTACTGATATTATTGATTAAGCTACATATGTCATTCCCAGAATACATCTCTCCAGTGTCCTTGTTTCCGATCCATGTCATAGAAGGTAACGCAGACGTCTGTGCGCTGCGTTTCATTCAATATCGGCTTTTTTCAACCGAGTACGTCTGGACATTTGTTATCACGCACGGTCATGAGACCAGTCTGTCACGAATGCTCACGTACCAATCTCTTATAGAATAACAACAACACTTTTTAATTCTGTCGCCAAATCTGGCTCAGACTCAAGGACTGACCCCGAGCTTCTGCTTGCCGGTAGCTGGCTCAAGATCTTCAGGCTGGAGACTCCCCTACACACAGTGCCGTATTAAGCTAGTGCGGAGCCTGTCACAAATGTTATACAAGGCCTCTAAATAAATAAATAAATACGTAAACATTCAACACATTTTGAACTTGCCTAGTGAAGTAATTGTATTTTTTCGTTTGCTATACAGCCACAGATATGACAAAACGCTGACCTTAAACACCCAATCTTGATTCGAAGCTTTCGTGACTGCAGGAATCCATACTCTTTGGTTATTTCGGTAAAGTCACGTAGGTATAAAATAAAATAAATCACGACGTTTCGATCGCAACACAAGCGACCGTCATCAGGTGGAACAGATACAGCAGGAGAACACCCAGTCGTTCATAAAAGTTGAAGGCGGTATAGTACTATAGTAATAGAGCAAGTGCAGAATCACTGAACCGGAATCGATAGCTTGAAAGCGTTTAGCGAAGGGGCCCTTGAAAGTGCGGGGCCCGTAGCTGCTACCACATATGTAGTAGATACTTTTGCGACGGCGAAAATCCGAACCTGCCTCCACGGCGCTCGCCGTAACGCCGCGCGAGGTTTGTGCGCAGGTTCCAGCAGCAGCAGCGGCAGCGGCCGCTGTATCGCCATGGGCTTGTGGGTCGTAGATGGCCTCTGAGGCTGGCACACACTAGTCGGGTGTACGTCACACCGTCGAAATGTACTCCATACCCGTTCTCGCTGTTTGGCTTTGTTTCATCAGTTTCATCCAGGTCCGCCTGGAATAATTTCTCGAGCTGTAACACACGCTGATGCGAATTCCCTTTTTTTCGGCACCTCCAACGACGATTCGTCCTTGTGTTGTTTTGGGCCACGATTACACCCTCGTGCATTTTTAATTAGCGGTTAATTATAGTTCCTTCCATAAATGTTAGCAAATACAGGGGGCTACATCGATGATACCTGCTCTATACCTATCATCCTAATGAGCCTCTAAGGAAATGTAAACGGTTCTTATAGGGCCGCCTGGGCTATTTGCCGAAGCCTTTTGCACGCTATCGCACCTGGCGAATGGTCACTGTGCACATTGCAACGTGGGGTCACACACATGGCAGTGTCGCTGATAGAATTGGTGGAGACTCCTGGCGATGCGCTCTTGCTCGCGCTCATGGCGTGCTTAGCGACCTCGATCGTCGCGTCGAACATGATTCTAATCGCGGCCTTCGTGAACTCGAGAGCGCTCTTGAAACAAAACAACTACCTCTACACCCTGAGCCTCGCCGTTAGCGATTTTCTCGTCGGTGCCGGATTCTTTTACAACGGCCTCTACGACGTCAAGGATGAGTTTGGTCCTGCATACAGCCCGCCAATTGTAATTCCGGTCATTCACGGTGTATCCCTGCTGACCCTGCTCGCTTCCATGCTGGACAGGTATTACGCCGTGCATTCGCCTTTTAAGTACGTGGAAAAAATGACTCGAAGGAAAACCATGCTAATCATCGGTTTCACTTGGCTCGTGCCACTTGTAACGTTACTCATGAACTCGAACATGTCATCGTCTTCGAAGTTCGCTTACAAAGCCTACTCAACCACCGTTGTCAGCATATTCCTCCTCGTGGTCATGGTGGTGATAAACACCCGAATCTACATAACCACCAGACGCCAGCAAAGTCGCGAGCCTGGAGCAGAATCCAAGGCGCGTGCGGCTCATCTCGTCATCATCGCGTCCACAATGTTCATTATTCTCTGGATGCCCAGCCTAATCGGCATGGCAATATGCGCAGGATTTGACATGTGCATATCAGCGCCCTACAATGCCAAAAACCCGCTCAACACCTTGCGGATCCTGAACACCCTGAGCACGCCCGTCATCTTTCTGATTGGAAGCACATTGACCAGAGCGTCTCTGAAGGAACTGGCTCTACGTCTGCGTTGCAAAAGGTTACTTTCGTAGTTATCGTCTGACTATTAACCTCTCTGACTTTAAACTTGTTTTCCTTCCCCCACGTTAAACACCGTTACACACACATGCATCCCATGTAACTTTGCAGTGTTTAGAACTCCGTTCTGCTTGTATACTGCGGCCTGTTTTGATTTAAAAGGTGCTGTACATGCTCGTAACCATAATTCTCCGCAACGACACGGAATGCATGTGTGTGCAATAATTGCTATTTGCGTTTAACAGGGCCGGACCCATTGTTGAAATGGAGTGCTTTTGCCAACAGAATGTGGCAACTAAGCAGCATTTTTTTTAACAAGCCTTAATCTACTGATGAGACCCAGACGGTCAAAACGGGTCAAGGGTATGCTTGCTTAAACATATGCTGCCGATTAGCCCATAGGCAGATGGACTAAAACGTATTTTTGGTATATATTTGGAGTGTTTGGGACAAGTGCTGTTAATGGGCACCTATCAAGGCTGGCACGATACACAAGGAAGTAATATGATCAGCGACCATGCCTTGCTGAATGCCTCCTCAGCGCTGATGTGTGAACGTTTGAGGCTGAGTATATCTACAGGAAGACCTAAGACCTGTTCAGATCTCAAACTCACATCACTGGGTTTCGTAACGCAGTGGACAAACCTACTCCGCCACCACTCTCCATCAGTTACGCGTGCACACACCCGGGTCGTGTAATTAGCTGCAAATAGGCACACGGCGCTTAATTGTGGCACCGTGGATGCTGTTTTTGGTGTAAACTCGCGAAATATCTGACGGGGAAGTTAAGCTGTTACGGAAGATGATGAGTTAATTCCTGTACTCAATTTGGCACTCCGGTCATCCTCGTAGCGGCTTTTCGCTGGAAGTCGAACTAAGTCGGTCACTGCATTGGACGCTTTCAGATGCGCTTCTGCGGCCGTCTGGAACGCTCTTCTTTCCAATATTAGGAAGTCACTGGAGCTATGCACTTTTAAATTTAGATTGAAAACTAATTTCTTCATACATACTTTAAGCAAAACGCAAATGAAATGTCTTTGTCACAAACCCATTTGAAAAATTACAATATCGTTTCTGTGTATTTAATGAAGAAAATGTTCATACCGACGCTGGTGTTAATACAAATAACCATATTTTACAGATCCGTTTCACCATCGACTGCATGCACCACATGAATGACGGCATCAAGAGCTGAAGACATCATCAATAACTTTTACCTTAAATATATTAAAAAAAACTAACCTAAAAAAAACAGCCTCTTCGTGAGCAATGTGAACCCCAAACGGACAGAACAGGCAGTGAGTGTATATCTTTAGATCTGTAATTTCTTAAGCGTTCATGATTTACTGTCTGACAGTCACTGCGTGTGAATTAAACCTCGTTGTGTTAATTACTCGTAGTGGACCGATTAACCCCCCCTCCCCCTCTCTCCCCCCTGCTAATAATTGCCAGACTTTTGTCAATGCACTTCGAGACATGAAGGCATCCGCGTTTCGCGGTTGCTGTGCCGATTCATTGTGGTCATTTGACCATGCTTCACCGTGCTGGTCAGTCGAGGTTGGTGAATGCACGGTATGGGACGGGTTAAGATGACGTCTCGCCACCGACGTTAGCCATGGCCAAGAATTTCATTCAGGTTTCCGGGTTCATGGCAGGTCGTGTACTATCTATTGTGCTACCGCTTGGCTCACGTAGATCTTGAGCAAATTAAAGTACATTGATTCTTACACAGGAATCGATTAATCGTCCAATTCATTCCAATTGTTCAATAAATGTGTTTTAAATTAACCATTAAATATCATTTGGGGAATATTTTAAATCTATACTTTAATGGAATAATTACGTAAAGGATTTACATTGTGCAAATGAACCCATTTCTAGTACTGTAATTCCAATTCAAATGCATTAGCCCGGTCAGCCACAAAAATAAGCGATAGCATGCATTGTTGCCTAAAATCTTGATGGATGGAATATGTAATTAAGTTTTACCGTTCCAAAATGTTTAAACAATAGGGATATAAGAACAATTCAACCTCGGGCCAACACTTTCCTCCCATCTCCCACAGCAATTCGATTAATGTTTTTTTTTTGTATTTTACCATCTCACTCGCATTGTTTTTATTCTGTTCCACGTGTAGTTTTGTTTTCTGAACTAGCCTAAATGTAACAGCGTAGGATTTGCAAAATCAAAAAAATAGTCTTACATGCACAACGCAAAATTCGACATTAAGCAATTAATCAATGCACCGTTACTCCTCAAGTAGATAACACCTCAAGTGGAAAGCAAGTGTTGAATGCTTATCCGGTGTATTTTCTTTTTTTAACGAGAGCCGAGGATTATATCTACAAAAATTTCAAGGGCTTCCTTGAACACAGTATACAGGATGTCCATGAAGGTATCGTCCATTACTAAACAATGTGTACATTAACTGGAGCTTGGGGAACTAAATTTACACAAGGGCAGACGTGGTAGCGTGTAGATAGTATTGGATCAGTGTCAGTCCTCTATACATCCACATGTCATACGTGTCACTGGTGACTCACATCACGTTCGGATTTGAGAGTAGCAGGTATTCACCAACATTGCGAGTGCGATTGTAATCGAATTGCTGTTGGAAGATCACTCAAGGTCTTTTGTTTACAAAAATGCTTCACTATGACGTGAAAACGTTGCCAATATTTCAACCGCGCAGTTCAAACCGCTAATTATCTGGGCGCTGGTAGCACGCACCTACGACCTGGCACCGTGGGGGCAAGGGTTTGGTACATCACACAGATTTGTGATACTCCCGAACCCGCTGGCTTGCATGGTCAACATGCCCTGGCTTATCACGGTTAGACAGCACTCTACAGCAAGTATATATTCATTTCTGTCTGTATTTCATCTGTCCGCGGATTGAGTGTTACTCCCCCGCGCATGCATGCGTTTTCTCTGGGTACTCCGATATCCTCCCAAATATATAACCACTCATTAACAGAGTTGGCCAAACATCCCTCTATAGGGCCACAGAGCTTGGGCAATTGTTTCCGTCGGTTTTCCTACCCCGCTTGTCTGTTGCTTTCCGCGTCTCTGAACCTCACCAAAACCGTGCGTGTTCGAAATTTAGAGGATCTATTGTGTATATATATGTTAATCTTTTCATATTCTTTAATAATATATGCTACTTTTTATTCAAGAACAAAACAGGAGGATTTCTCCACAAATCTGGCCGTTGCCTGATGATGCTCGTTGTAATTACCGGCAAAACGTCGTACTCGAATTGTAAATGTTGTGGGTTTACTCACCAACACACCAGTGCGCTGTACCAGTAACAAATTGCCATGTTCTCTTTACATGACAAACCTTACTATTTGGCTGTGTTGGGTGGTGGCGGGTTTAACGAATGGATAAATGATGGACATTATAAAGCTGTGGGTGTGAAATGAATGTGCTAATCCCCACCCGTGTGTACTTGTATCGGATGGAAATGTTGAACGCGAAGGTGTTGCATCCCTTGAGGCTTGGCGGGCCTGTTTTTTTTGTTGTGTCGAGGAACGGCTGGAAGAAAATAAATGACCGTACAAAGGGACTTCCCTACATCGCTTTGCATGATGGCTCCTTTGTTCTGATACAGAGTCTAGACCCTTTGCTTTTCCTGTCCTAAACATTACAACGGGCAATTACTTCGTGCATAAATGTTTAAATCAATAAAAACGTGGGGGGGGGGGGGGGGGAAGACTTTGTGAATAATAATGCCGACATATACACCTTTTATAAAAATGTAATAAAAACTATTGCAACACTATTGTATAATTACGGCCACCGGTACGAGCATCCTTCGTATAAATTACGTTTTGATGGTTTTGTTAGGAAAACAAATAAATTTGTAAACATTTCTAAAATAATATATCCTTTAACCAAACGCGGACTTGCGGGCACACACAGGGTTAACCCCCATTGGTTGCTGCCGTTGAATCATCACAATGCCCTATGACTCATACGTGTTTTGTCACCGAGCTGTGTGAGCTCGTGATTGGTTGGGGGGGTCTCCCCCCTCTCCAATGGACTTGAGGCAGCCCGGCGGCAATAGGCGGGCGCCTACACGCGGAGTGCCGTCGAGGTCTTGTGGGAGTGGGGCTCATACCTCGTGAGCCATGCCACAAGTGGGGGACATTCCTTGCACGCATTGTAGAACATAATGCCGAGTGCGAGCGAGGCTTTGTTCTTTAAACGCCTTTGAAGGCAAAACAAAAACGTTGGTCTCCATAATACAGGGTTTTATTTTGGGTTAGATCGCGTAAATATATAAATGTCTCGTTAAACCCACCACCACCCGACACGGCCTATTAGTCAGGTTTGTCACGTAAACAGAACGTGCCAATTCGTCACTAGCACAGCAACACCGGTGTGTTGGGAGACCAAAGCCACAACATTTACAATCTCAGTACGACGTTTTACCAGTAATTACAACTAGCTTCATCAGGCGACAGCCAGATTAGTGGGATTGTGACAAACGTTTGTCTGTCAGCCCGTCTGGCTTTACTAAATTCGCACATTCCATGCTTCCAAATGCGGTGTATCAAATGTGTATATTACCGAGTCGTTGTCACATGGAAACATGAACACAAACGTTTGGTTATTGCCTGTCGTGATGAATGTGTATCGGTCATTCAGCCACTTGACTGGAATACTGATGCTGCCCATGGTGAGATAAACACGAGGCATCGTTTGCGGGAGGCTGGGTTTGGTAAAACAACGATCAAGGTTCACGTTGAAACAATACATATTGAATAAACCGATCACACTTGCTATAAAGTTACACTTATCTTAAAATGACTGCGGCCGTTCCTATAGGCTAGTTTTGGCGGAGCGGTGTCGTCATGGCTCGAGTGCTGAGCTACTCACCAGGCCACCTGAGGGGCCTGCATTGTCAGCTGAAGGAACCCAACAAAAGCCATTCTATCGGATTAAGCTGCAATGTCTATGCTCCCTACCTTCACCAACCAACACTGACCAGCATCGTCCAATAACCTCCACGACTGACACAGTGTGGGGAGGCCTTCATCCAGCAGTTGGATTGATACCGAGCTAAACAACGATTATTATATAAAGTTAGCTATTTTTAGTTATTTTGCTTCCTATTTTTTATATATATAGTCATCCGACGGAGCACACATTAAAGCATTAGCGGCGTACTGGTCAACCATATGGCGGTGTTTGTGGCTGATGAGCTCCGCGCTAAAAATACGATTTTGCCGTATCTGCGGAGAGACCACCAAGGAAGTATCGTGTGTGGTATCGTGTGCCATTGCGTGAGAGTCGGAGCACGTAATTGCCGGTTTGTTTGGATGAAAGAAATCCCACACGGAGGCTGTCCCTTATTACTATCAAGAGCAGGCAATTACAAATTGCGCTCCACTGGGCATTAATTCCAACGCCTGAAAGTTTTGAGAATCAAATAACTTTTTCATCCTCAAGGAATGCAAGTCGTCTAACAAGCGAGGCCCGCGTGGATTTGAAGCTTGCCGGTGAAGGTTTGGTGAAAATTAGGTGATGCGAGGTACTGACCTTTCAGAGACAAATATTTCTGAAAACAAGTATTCCTTGAAGGAGGCAGATATTCAAAGATAATTATTTTACATAGAGAACTGCTGGTTTGATCAAATCGGTTCAATTAAAAGACACGTAAACACACAAAAAAACAATCGGCCTTGGTTAATATTATTTTAAAGCCAAAAGCAAATCACTAGGTGCACCCGCTCTTGGAAGCAAGGCAGACTTGAGGCAGGTTGGTACTTGGATGGGTAAGGGGCCGTCCATAAATGACGTCAGGCGATTTTGGACGATTTTTGACCTCCCCCCCCCCCCCTCAAATATGACGTCACAAAGCTCTGCCCCCCCCCCCCCAAAAAATTCCATTTTGAAAATAAAACATGCTTTAAACATATTGTCATTGTAGTGCGTATTTAATGTGGCGCTGCACTCTGACGTTGTAGGAGAAAACATTTATTAAAAAGTCTATTTAATTAAGTAGAACGTGTTGTCTATATTTATTTAAAGTTGCGCATTTTGATGTGACGTCACATTTCTCAACCCCCTCCCCCCCCCCCAGGTGCGTGACGTCATTTATGGACGGCCCCAAACGACCAGGCCTTGCCAGATGTTTAAAGCATGGTACTGCGAGGTGATTTTGAGATGGCAGTTGAGTAATGGATTCTTGAGTCTGTGTCTGACTTTCGTTACCACCTCCAATATGTGGTGAGCCCTCTCTGGGTTTTCTGTTTTCCCTGCACATGCTGAACACATGTTAATTGAATTGGCCAAATAATCAAAATCTAGACCCCTCCTGAAAAAAAATAGAGTTGTTAAAACTTTCCTGGGTAAATAATAATTGGCATTATTCCCTCAAGTAATGTTCAGACCTATGAAAAGTCTATAAACTGTTTAATATACTGACACAAGCGAGGGCATACTGTACAGAAAAAAGTTAACATGTATTGTGATCAAAGAGTGGTCGCCTTTATTATTTTGTACATTTTTAGAACAATGCCGGTATCTGTCACAGTTTTATATTCTAATTATATTTCATCCTCAAGAAAGTTTAATTTAAAACAATATTTGCACATTTATAATTTTACTGTAAACTACTGAACGATCTACAACACCTTCTTGATATGTTTGACATATATATAATACAAGGTGAGGAAAACTATAGGGCTCATGGTATATCAGACATGTAAAACAAAGCACACATTGATCTTTTGAAGAAACAAAACTGAAACGTGAGTTGCTGCAGGTGTTTTTTTGGTTCGCAATCACGGGATGAAGTTTCAGGAATCGTAACAAGGGGTTTGTGCAAAGTGCTTCGAAATTACGTCTACCATTTTGTAACTTAAGAGCTATACAACGCACTACAATTTCATGCAAATATCATCCGTTTTATCACCTGTTTTAAGATGGAATAAATGATAATTAGTTTATTATGCTATAGGCCTGAACTAAGGCGGCATGGAAAAGAATGTGAGTAGGGAGTAATAATTTCAAAAAATCAGGGAGGTAAAGCGCCTTTATTACAACGAAACAAGAAAGTGCAAAGCTCCAACACGTGAACATTCAGCTAATATGGAATCTGATTCTGGTAGTACTGAATCATGTCGTACGTCTTACTCCTGTGAACACAGAAAGAAAGGGCGGTGATAAAAAACTGTCAAGATATCGCCTTGTAGAATGTAAGAAAACAAGTCTTTAAATTGTAAACTTTTTTAATGAATGTGAATTCAATTAAACAGTACGAAAATATGCAATTTTCAGGTGATTTCACAAAGGCATCTGGATCAACAGGCGTTCAAGGATGAGAACACGAACACACACGAGTGAAAGATAACTGGTACCTGTTGCTGAGGAAGCAGTTCTGGATGATTTTGATCATGTAGTTTGCTGCATCTCGCTCGCTCTGGTTTGGTGCGAATCGTTGTCTGTTTAGGGAATCAAATAATGGCACATGTGAACCAAAATTCGAAATGGGCATTACTTTTGCTTCAACACTGGCAAGAATTAATCTGCTCTTAATAATACGGTTAGGGCATCTTTACCTTCTGCAGGTAACCAAATTCTGCATGATTTTAATTGTGCTCAACAACCTTTTGAGAAGAACGTACGACATCTGTGGGTTATCTGCGGAACTTTATAACTGGAAATGTGGTGGATACTCCATCCTAAAACATATAAGGCATATTCATATATGTTAAATGCTACAACGAACGTCAATGCTTCAGTGTAAAGCCATGTACTTGTACTTACTTAAGAAGCTTGATGGTCTGGCCTCTGAAACATGGCAGACCAGTATCAAGCATGAGGGCCACCAAAGAAATGACTGCATCCATGTATGGTCTGTTAATGAAAGAATATACAGAAATTTAAGTTTAAACCAACAGCAATCAATATTATAAATTTTGTAACACTAACATTAACATTATTTTAGCATGCTGCAATGTTTATTGCACGTAAAAATGGAGAAAAAACAGGATGAGAAACGTAATGCAATTGAAATCTGTTTACGGTTGAATATTTAGGCATTCATTGACTTCTCAGGAGTAATAAAAGGCCTGCTTGCATCAAAGAACATGCCCAAGTTAGAGGTACCACGTTGACTGGAAAAAATCTACACTATTAATTAAAAAAGTAAGTGGGCTTGGATGGTCTATTGCACAAGGGCCTGCCAATTTAAATGTTCATTCCAATGATGCCAAGAAATGCTCGATTTTCAGTCTCACCCAATGTAAAATCCAAATATTCTTCAAAACATATTTTCTTTTTTTCCCATTTTAATTGCGATTGTACAATCGTTGTCATTGCCATGAGACAAAGTATCCGTTCGGATCTCTCGCAGAGCAGCGCAACCCTTTGTGTTTTAGCAGTGCTTCTCAACATTTTTGTAATTCCGCGGCACACTTTCAAACTTGCTCCATCTTCGCGGCACACTGCGTGCCCAACTGTGGGTGTTGGCACGAGGGGGTTGAGAGGGCTGGGGGCTGACACTGTAACCAATGGCGAGGGGAGGGGGCGGGAGGCCTGCGGTGGGGGTGGGATCGGCCACTGAATGGCATGGAGAGTTTGATTGTCCTAGCTTGCGAAATGTGAGGTTCTTCGATAATTCTGAAAATAACACGGCACAACGGGCACACTGGTTGCGCAGCATCGTGTTATAGATTGGCCCACAGAAGTGTATGTCACAGGCATACCTCCGAAATGCCTTCTAGTTACCTCTGGACAATCAACTCACTGCACAATCCAGAACCCCAGTTCAATCAGCGCTTGGAACCTCTGAGCCACTCGGCCACCTCAAAACTAAACAACTCTCAAATAACGCAGCAACTTGTACCTGACGGCCAGGTATCCGCGGACACACATTTCCATGAACCACTTGAATGGGGTGGCCTCCATTTTGCCACCCATGATCATCACCATCTCGTCCGTGAGCTTGATGTCTGGCTCCCAGCCGAGATTTCCTCCCGGGGAGCTCTCAAACATGAACCCAAAATCTAACACACAAGCACAGACACAGATATGTTTTAAGTGTCATTTGTTTAACCAGGTAAGGACTCAAGAGACCGAAGCAGTCTGATCTACAGGATTGACTTGGGGCATTAGTCTGCCGGTAGGGGGTGATGGTTGCTGTGTATAATCCTAATTGAGTAATTTGCAGGTAATTTTAGATTTGGCAGACTTGAACCCTGAATCCAGCACACAATGGCCTACTCTTGCGAATTACTTCAGAGAGATTCGACCTATGAAGTTGTGCAAAAAGCAGTGAACACAAGGCCATGTCACCATTCTAAAGGTAGAACATGCAGCATACATGGACTCCTATTCTCTGGTTCTTTCGGTAAAGTCACGTAGATAGAAATACAATAAAATATAAACTCATGACGTTTCGATCGCAACACAGGTGGTCGTCATCAGATCTCAACACAGGCGGTCGTCATCAGATCTCAACACAGGCGGTCGTCATCAGATCACAACACAGGCGGTCGTCATCAGATCTCAACACAGGCGGTCGTCATCAGATCTCAACACAGGCGGTCGTCATCAGATCTCAACACAGGCGGTCGTCATCAGATCACAACACAGGCGGTCGTCATCAGATCACAACACAGGCGGTCGTCATCAGATCTCAACACAGGCGGTCGTCATCAGATCTCAACACAGGCGATCGTCGTCAGATCTCAACACAGGCGGTCGTCGTCAGATCTCAACACAGGCGGTCGTCATCAGATCTCAACACAGGCGGTCGTCATCAGATCTCAACACAGGCGGTCGTCATCAGATCTCAACACAGGCGGTCGTCATCAGATCTCAACACAGGCGGTCGTCATCAGATCTCAACACAGGCGGTCGTCATCAGATCTCAACACAGGCGGTCGTCATCAGATCTCAACACAGGCGGTCGTCATCAGATCTCAACACAAGCGGTCGTCATCAGATCTCAACACAAGCGGTTGTCATCAGGCGCCTGATGACGACCGCTTGTGTTGTGCTTCGAAACGTCGTGAGTTTTTGGTTTTTCTTATTTTTCATTTAATTTAATTAATTTAATTATATCTATCTACGTGACTTTACCGAAGGAGCCAAAGAATGTGAATTCCTGCAGTCACGAAAGTTTAAGGGTGAAAATTCATACATGGACTGTTCGGGCAAATGCTGTTAGCAAGCAAGTATTTAGACTGGTATGGTGCACGAGGGAGTGATGTGGCCAGTAAAAACACACAGGAATTCATTTAAGGTTGAGGTGACATTTGGGAGACTTTGGATAGATTCAGATACCACTTGCCAATGATGTTGTCCATGGCCAGCAAGTGAACCCAGATTAACTGGATTGTATACAACATTCCTGTGTCCCCTAGCACCCCAACACACATATACCATATGTGCAACGCAGGACATTACAACAACAGCAAAATCAGAAGTTGATTGCCTGCCATTTTATAGGTACATAATGGTTCAAAAGTAAGTGAACTGTTTAGTAACGCAATACGCAAAAATGCATTTTCGTGATAATGTACCACTCCATACCGATGTGAATGAGATGCCCCTGGCTGTCCAACATGATGTTTCCATTGTGGCGGTCTTTAATCTGAAGGAGGAAGAGAAGCAGGCTGTACGCTGCCATGCTGCGGATGAAATTGTAACGAGCCTGTGGAACAACAAACATAAAGCGTTAAACGGTTACAAATTTCACGACATACGCACCACAACAGTCTAGATAATACATACAGAGTCAATTTTAAAAAAAGTGATGAATGCTCATATTTAGCACGACAGAAATAATTTTATTCAAGCAGTGTTAATTAGTTCCAGCAACTCCAACTAGCACATGTGGCTACGTAAGATGAAAAATGGTAATTTAACGATAATCGAAACATCCCTTTTTGTCCCGAAAAATGCAGTCTACAGCATGACCGCACACCATGTTGTAACACTGTACTGTCTTAAGAGTACTCTAAAAGTAGCAATAACCATTTTAGCTCTTTAGTATTACTTAAGGCTCTGAATAAAGGTCCAAAAGCAACTCAATACCACCCCCTGGTGTATCTAACTGGTATTGACAAAGACGAGAGGAAAACGATAAAATATATGCACAAAAGGTCTCATTCTGCAACCACCAGATTGGCCTGAATGATTGGTAAGGTACAAAACTATTCCTCAGTGCAATTACCATGATGGTATAATTAAGCCTGTACGAGTTAACTGATAATGACAATACACATTCAGAGATTATATATTTAAAAAAACTCAATCGTGTGTTGGTAGTGGAGGACTATTGGTGATGGCATGACTATATGTGTTCACCATTATAATAGCCTGGTGGAACAGATGTTTTGCCTATTTATTAATTGTACGAATATGAGAGAGATTGCTCACTTTTTGGAAGGCCTCCGTGGACTCGTCCCCGTACTGGTTTCGGAAGTACTCGTACATACCGATGTCTGTCTGACGACCCAGCTGGTCACGGGACTTGCAGTCTGGGATGCACTCTATGACACCACACTGAGGGGAAACACGGAACAGCCGTGAGCATCGCGGCACACCGTTGAACATTACCAATGGAGAGAAGGGAGTCAAATAAACCAAACACGTGAGATTATATTTTGTGTTTGATAAAGATACATTATACGCATGCTGTTTAGATAGCTAAGAAAGTTTAGGCCAGTGGTTCTTAACCTTTACTGCAGCCTGCACTGCTTTGGTTCTCAATCATAAAAAAATGTATGTTACTAAATACAGGTAGGTTTTATGAAACAAAGTAGTTGTAGTTACTTGCCCATGCTTAATTTGTGCTTTTGATTATTTACCTTCTAAACAAATCTGGCCATGTCTCGCACCCCCAGAAAGGGCATCCTCGCACGCCAGGGGGTGCGTGCACCCCAGGTTAAGAACCACTGGTTTAGCCCAACATATGTGTTTCATTGTAGTTAATAAACTCTTGCATTTTTAAGGAATGTAAATATTCCGGACTTTCTGTGAGTGCTCATGAATGTATTCAGTTACGCTTCAATGGTCCATGCTGCAGCTGAGCTACTAATCTCGAAACATTTTTTTTTACATAGCAAAAATGCCAAGAATCAAAGCCTGCTATCACTGACCCCAGGAGAAGTGGCCACCACTCGATATGGAAACACAAACAGATCCATCCCAACGAGCTGGAAAATATTCTTGAAGAGCCCAATGATCTGAAGGGCCAGCATGTCCTGTGTTACAAAGAAGAACGGCAATGACAAATGGATCAGCATAGGACAACGATAATTAACACGCTGTTTATTTCAGTAAAACAGCACTGCAAATGACACATTCAATCTGTATTGTAAGAAAAAGTGTTTCATTGCATAACACGTAGTGGTAACGATTGTTGAGGAATTGCATCACACACACACACACACCTGTCTGCAGTCATCTCCTACTTTGAAGATTGCTGCCTGCCAGTAAATGTCCTCATTAACCTTCCTCTTGTCATCACCAGTGCCGGATATCGACTCTCGCCGGCACATCAACCCTGGCATTTTTAAAAAGCGGAAGAGGAAACGCGTTTTAAAGAGAGTGAACGTATTTCATGGATACAAGTTCTGGTACTTGATCTTGAAGGAAGCCAACCATTAAGAATCTGTCAGTTGATTGCGCTCCACTCCCCCTACCCCGCACCCCCCCTCTCTATCTCTCCTCCCTGGCTCCTCTCTTACCTATATAGCCTCTTGTTACAGCAGCCCTCTTGCCCACTTCAGCAATTTTTTCTTGCTGTGGTTGTCCCACCTGATGACGGACGTCGTGATTTAATTTATTTTCTACCTACCACGTGACTTTACCGAAAGAACCAAAGAGTATGGATCCCTGCAGTCACGAAAACTCAAATCTAGATTGCAATACACAAGTTGGAAATGCAGCACAACAAACATTTTGCACTTCCTGTACCTTCTTTTTCGAGCTCTGAAACGCCGCATCGCTTGACTTTAAACTTGGCCAGGTACGGTGCTTTAGCCGCGCTGAAACAATAAAAATGGTTGGTGGCAGATGAACACATCGTCCACCAAGCCATTCGTATCACGGTGTGAAATCATGAGCGAGTATCAGCAAGCCCGATGTACAGCAATCCCCGAATCCCCAGCCAATTCCAAACCGCAAGTGTCACTATTATATACAGTATATGTATATATTATGAATACCGGTAATTATGTACAGGTCTGTAAATTTGACAATTCTGGACAAAAAGGGGGTTTGGTTCAATTGAAATGTAAAGTGTTAACTTATCCCCTATATATATGTTAAACATAAACGCAAAGCAAATATACCAGGACTCACCTTTGCATGGGCAACCCGGACTGGTAGTCAATATCCAGCACTATAGCTTCAGGGTTACTTGGAAGGTAGCAACCTGTCATTAAAGAACAAACATTCACTCATACACTTCTTCCAAATTTTGTCAAATATGCAATATTAGGGTCATCAAACCAATTAGAAAGCTTATGCCTTCTTTTAATTTCTACTCACACATTTCTGAATGTCAACAAAGTAAGCGGCGTTTTGAATTACCTGGTTCAAGGTTGATTTCAGACAATGCCTTCAAACATGCAGCTTTTCTCTCTGCACCCTTTGGATAGGGTCTGTAATGATATACAATTGTTTTGCTCATTGCTTTATCATGAAAGTATGAGGGCACCAACATTTTTAATACATTTTAATAACTAAATATAATTTAAAAAGTTCAATGATCTATTCCAGTTCGTAAAAACACATAAAAGTGTATGTAATTAGGTTAAAAAACAATACCATAATAAACATTATTTTAAAAAGGTAACCAATTTCAGTTCAAGTCAAACAGCTTTCAGAATAATTTAAACCTGTAACATACACAGTATTCACTAAACTTTCATAGAGACTGATTCAGAGGCACGGGGAACCACAGACAAGCAGGAAGGCAGCCAAACGATGAGCCGGTGCCAACAATTGCCCAAGCTCTGCTTTATATCAAGGTATTATCGGCCACTTAAAGAGCATTTACATTTTGAAGGAGACTGGAGCACCCAGAGAAAACCCACGCCTGCGAGGGGGAAACACCTATCTCATACAGATAGCACAGGTGTAGCCCACATTTGTTCCGTATTGCCTTCTCTTGACAAACCAGGGTACGCCCACTGGAAGGGAGTTATCGCAACATTTGTGCGATCTACCAACTCAGTATTTGATTAAAGGTGTGTGCCACCACTGCCTGGGTGATATTCAGAGGTTTTCGATTTTTCCAGTGCTCTATACTTAAGTCCATTTTAGAACTCCACAGATTACGGAGCATACTTGATGGTGGCAGACACGTTGGTGATCTTGTTGAAGAAGTCGAACTCGCGCTGGTAAAACTCTTTCGCTGGACCGGACAACGCATTTGTGATCTCATCGACCAGGCTCTCCAAAGTTTCCCCAATCTCCACTGAAAACGGACACAGGCACAACACATTCACCGTCATAAGATGGTATGAATGTACCATCAAACAAATCGTCATTTTATTGTCACCCTACGGAGCAATACATAACATAAAGAACACAAGGGACAGAACAACCATTTTTCCATCCATAATCAACATGTGAAGAAGCGGAAATCCAGAATAAAACAATGGCTCAGGAGAGACAATTCGAATGGGGGTGAACGGGTGCTGAAAACGAGAGAAAGTGTTTTCAAAAGAGAAACTAATTAATGGACGAGACAAGGAAGGACTTAAGTCTGATATTATAAATTGCACAAACCATCTTTTGTGTGGCCTTCCTCATCTGAGAAGATGTTGGTCTTCATGTTCCATATGAACTGATGGGCGAGCAGTTGAGATTTTTTCGCAGCCCAGAGAATGTACTCTCTTACGTAGCCCATCTGTGAAGCACAGGTAGTTTGCACTTAAGAACCAACATTTGTATGCACGCTGTCAAAAATTCAGTGTCATTGTGAATATGAAATTAATTAGTACAAGAAACATGTTTTGTTACATTGGTAATAAAGAAGTCCTTTGGCAGAGAATATTCAGCTGTGCAACTCACCGTGTCATACCGAACTGCCTGGACAATCTGGGGAATGTAAAAGAGTATGGCATCCTGGAAAGAGACACACATTTGACACAAACGTTAGTGTTGCAAATCATGAAGCACGTCGTGAAGAAAAATAACCAAATTTGTAATTTGCTAACATAATGACACATTTCATTAACCAATAGAATAATGCACCAAATATGTAAACAACTGAAAGAATAACACAAACCTGCCAGCAGAGAGACGGTAGTTTTAAATAGATTGCTATGAATATTGAACACACAAACTGCAGCGTGGCCAATGCACAATTCCAATTGTGCCATTGGTGCCATGCCATGAAACAAACTAAACATTCAGAACTCTCGCTGAGCAGTGCAACACCTCGTGTTAGAGAAGTGTCTGCAGGAGGTTATATTACAGAACCACTGCTTACGCGCCCCAGGGGCGCTTTATTTTCCTACTGTGCCATGCTAGAGGATGTTAATTGCATGGCAGTGTCAGGCACGGCGTTTCCTAAACGAAGCGTCCAACCAAATGGAATAGAAATTTTGCTGTTTGGTGAGCAGGCTGTGACCATTAACTCGCTATATTTGAAAACCCGGTTTAATCACAGGGGGCTGCCTGGACTCGAACACAGGATCATAGGTACCGGCCAAGTGCTCTGACCTCCGACTCTCTCTCTCGAGGGCAACTCTCGGCAAATCCGCGCCGATCTCTTTTTGTGCCCGTCAGAAAGTGTGACATGCAAGAGAAACTGTGGATTACCGGCGGGAAGGAGCGCAGCACCCTCACGGCGTATTGCGCCGTGAGCGGATGCGGTGGGTAGAGGCGTGAGAAGTACGAAAGCGCCGTAGGGGGGTCGGTCGGGGCCCAGCACAGAATGTGGCTGAGCTCCGGAGCGTCGGCCTCTACCGTGTGTTCCGTGACCAAGAACTGAAACGATGACATGCCCATTTCAACACAATCAAGTCACTGCGCTCGGATTAATAAGAGTAATTCCACATGTTAGTCCACGAAAATCTGAGTCTCAAGACTCTCTTTACCGCATTGAAATTTTTTTGGCCAATTATCTTCACGAGTGTTTTTGCACGTGAGAGGAGGAAACCGGAACACCCAGAGAAAAATCCATGCACGGGTCCATTTCAAAATCTATCTCTGTGCAGCGATCTTCTAGCCGCTTCACAGCCTAAGTCTACAACGCCTGCTATTCCCAGGCAGTCTCTCATCCAATCACTAACCAGGCTCCGTCCTAAGTCTACAACGCCTGCTATTCCCAGGCAGTCTCTCATCCAAGAACTAACCAGGCTCCGTCCTAAGTCTACAACGCCTGCTATTCCCAGGCAGTCTCTCATCCAAACACTAACCAGGCTCCGTCCTAAGTCTACAACGCCTGCTATTCCCAGGCAGTCTCTCATCCAAGCACTAACCAGGCTCCGTCCTAAGTCTACAACGCCTGCTATTCCCAGGCAGTCTTCTCATCCAAGCACTAACCAGGCTCCGTCCTAAGTCTACAACGCCTGCTATTCCCAGGCAGTCTCTCATCCAAGCACTAACAAGGCTCCGTCCTAAGTCTACAACGTCTGCTATTCCCAGGCAGTCTCTCATCCAATCACTAACCAGGCTCCGTCCTGGATATCTTTCACAATATAATGATATTGGGTAATTCAGGGTGATTATGGTGCTTTTTTAACGAGGGATGAAGTGTAATCACAGAATTTATTTACCATACAAATGGGCTGACTTGTATATGTATAATCTAAATGTTTAAACATACTAATAGAGAATGTAGATACAGGTCGTTGAAGGAGGTCCCTGATTCCACCAATTCTTATTTGAAAGGTAAAACTGTAAAGGATTGTTACCTTGATTGCTTCAGGGATGTTGCTCACCGCTCCAGGATCTAACCGGACCAGACGAGTCACTTCCTTGGAAATGGCTTCTGAATTCCTGAATCTAAGTTCCAAACAAACAAATCAAAGTACTTATGAACATGAGGTTCATATCACTCCCTTTGCTCAGAGAGAAATGTGATGTATTTTTATGCACAGTAAAACCAACAAGTGAATTATGATTTACTGACTATCTGTATGCCTGTGATTATGTTTGTAACACTTGTTAAAGACAGTGTATTTGGAACTGGGGCGGAGTGGTGGCACAGTGGTTAGGGCACGATGAACCGGTGACCCAAATTTGATTCCCAGCAACACAGCTAACATCAATGGCAAGTGAGATCTGAAACCATGTTTGTCCTCGACCCCCTTCACGAACATGTACTGACAGCATAGATGAGTTTGGTAAAAACAACTCCCTTAACTGACAACAAGGCATGGACAGGTCTTCATCCAGCAGGGACAAAGGGCTGAACATTATTATTACATGTGATTAATGCATGGCAGTTGTACAAGTCTCTGACTCCATGTAATTCACTTTGTCAAATATTTTACTAGAGCCATTAAAGAAAATATCTGCTTATATAATAACAGACCAGACAGCTGTCTACAATATTAGTTTAATTAACTAAGATGTAGGCTAAGGACAATCACATTACTGAAGTGTTTTAAAATGTAATGTAAAGTGTTTTATACAGATGGGATACCCAGAGTCACTGTAATATATTTTTTATCAGTGCTTATCTAGGTGAGAAACCATTTGCAAAACCAACCTGGTTGGCAGCTGGATGGCGAGATAAGGAGAGATGGTCCAAGCGAGGTTGACGTTGTCCCTCCACTGTTTCTCCGTCAGGTTGGTATACTTGGTGCGCCAAGCTGCCACGTTTTCCTCGCCGGCCGTATCGATGGCCATGTCAGGCGAAGACAGAGAATCGTACCATGTCATCAAGCGCTCAATCTCGCTCGCCTGCCAAAATGGGAGGAAAGAAAAAAACAGAGAACATAAAACAAGCTAAGTGTTCCATAAACCTCTCTTCCACTGCGCAACCAACCCACACTGGGGCCGTACTGAGCCAGCCCGATGCAGTTCAGGAAGCGCCGGGTTCTTATTCCACTGTGCTGACTATCATTGCATGCAATGAAAGCGTCATCATCCCAGCCCCGTGGACTTGCTTGTCCCCGAGCCAGATTCAGATTTCTTGTGAGGCCAGCGTATCTCACTTTGGTTTTGGCTTGGCACAGCAAATAGCTCATGGAAAACCACCCATACCGTACGGGCACTGCACTGGTAGGGCCCGGATGTGCAAGTGGAAAAGGTGTAGAAGTTTCCGTTTCATAATCATGTACAAAGCTATACACAAATGCTTCAGTTAACATATCAAGATTATACACATTCATACACTATGCATACATTTGACTAAAATAGCCTTGGAGAAAACAAAAACATAAGCACACTGGCATGATATAACTTTATTTGCCCAGTAACTTTTAAAAGCATTAAAGGGGATATCATGAACTTCTGCCTGCCTACGAGTGACCGCGTACCAGCAGAGACAAAAGCAGAGTTCGCCGTTTCATGTAGTACTTGTGCAGCTGGGTACCACGGTTGGTCTTTTTAGATGCACCTGTGAAATGAACATCCATGTAAATTATAGACCAAAATGTAATTACAATGGAAACGTAACATACAACTGGTGACGCAATGTTATGTTTTCAGACGCTTATGTTTTCAGACACACCTCCGATTAGCATGGTTGGCTATGTATGGTGCGAAATAAGTTAAACATACATACATACAGATATGTTCATTTGCTAATGACAACCACACAAACATATGAACCTGATTTTTTGGACAGAGTGGACATTCCGCTGGAGAGAGGCACTGTGTTGATCCAGCCCTGGTTGGCCGGCTGCCGAGAGCCCATGGCCACATCCAAATTGTTACGAGAATCTCCAACGTTCATGACGGTTAGATTGTTTGCGGAGAAGTCTTGTACGTCTGGAGAAGAAAAAACAAACCTTACACATCAAGACTTCACCACTATAATTTCCACAAAAAACCCATCGATCGTGTTGAATGATCATCATGACATTGCTATGCTCTTCAGGGCACTATTGACCGATATGGCAGAAAGGTGATCAATACCTGCGTAAAACCACAACAACACGATGAGAAAAATAACAGTGCTGTCTGTAACCACCATGCCAGCTGTTTTGCTTCGTGACTGCAGAGATAAGAAGAAGGTTAAACATGGAGCCATGCAGTTGTCAGCTTCTGAAGACAGTCTTATCATGCCTCCAACATGGCCAGCCCAAACCATGGCAGTTCACAGGGAACAGATGCTGTACTCTTTAATCAAATTCAATATCTTTGAGAGTTTCTAATAAGGCGGATTAAACTGAGTAAAATAAAGCATAACAATACATTTGTGTTTATATAAGTGTTCCAGGTCGGTGAGTTTTAAAGGCACATTGCAACACCTGTTACTAGTTTACTGAGCATAACAGGGTCAACGAAAATGTTTTATGGGATCAAAATTTTGATTAAGATAGGAATTTATATCAAATGTGTATTTAACAATATATAAATATATAACCTGGCCAGGATTACAGAACATGTGACATATTGAATCTTGAATTCACCGAGAATGGGATGCTCACAATGTGTGCACATCGAGGCAATGAAATCGCCAACTCATTTCCGAACTGGATAACGGATCGCAGTCAAAGATTTCCAGGACTCCACCCTGATCCTAACCACACCTGATCCTTGCTCACTACCAAGGCCAAATCATAAGAGACCACATCGTAGAACAGTGATGAATGCAAACTTACAAATAGCACAAAAGTAAAGAAAGTAATGGGGCATTAGAGCAGTGATGATCAGGCCAAGTCATGCTGGTTTCAATGGTTGGATGACGTTGCACTTCAAAGACTAAAACCTTCAGAGGAGTGGCTTTGCATGCTCTGAGGCCCAGAAGAGGTTGAAGAGACACAGGTTGGGCTGAAGAAGCAACAGCCTGAGTCTGAGCTTTCCCTGTGAACTGCATGGTCAGGTGGTGTCGGTCAGCATGGCAATCAACAGGAGAGAAACGCGCTAGGATTAGTTGCACTTTAGAGCTAGTTAGTAAAATTTGATGGACATCACTGCACTCTCGTGGAAGTATGAGCAAGGTACACGACAGCAAAACAATTAAAACAAACACAAAAGAAAGGATGAAATGCTTCAGCCTGAAAACATGAAAAATGTATCAATAATTAATTACATCAAGGTAAGTGTGAATTAACAATATATAAAGCAGCAAAAGATACACAGCTACATGGAAATTAATCCAATGCAGTTTGGTCAACAATCACTACCAGTGTGGCCTCATATAAATAACACTATTTCCATTTAAACATGATTTGTGCTCAGCTTACCTTGTCGGAAATCATTGTACTTATTTATTTTTGATGAAAAATTAATCCAATTACACTCAGATTAATTCCTTCCAATCAGTCCTCGAGGCTTCATAGTTATCAATTATAGTTATGTAGATCCAACTCACCAGGTGGTACCAACTGGTTGGCATTCAAGTATTTCTTGTCAGAATACATAGCCATCCAGAACTTGACCATCACACTGATGTCCTCGCGTAGAGCCTTGGTGGTCTGTGTTGGGAACTTGGGTGCAACACTGAGCAGAACAAAACAAGATAAGTTGTACATAGTGGTATTCGACTATGAGATACATACTATGTAGGGCCGATTCGTTTAATATATTTTTCTTAAACGGATCAGCAATCAGTGTACTTGGTAAATACTGCCCACCTTTACTTAGGATGCGAAGTGAAATAAAACACGTATGTTACAGCGATATCTACTGAAATGTGTTGTACTGTGTTGTATTGTGTTGCTATGTAAAATACAATTTCAATTGGGCTCGCATGCATGTCGTTTGATAATGAAACAAAATTAAAGCATGTCAGTTTTACCAATGTTAACCCATGGCAATGTATTTGCATTACTCATCAGAACCATCTGGACAAGTGTAAACAGGACCGGAAAGTGCTTTGCAACTGACCTGAAATAATCAAACGCTGTGGAGTAGACCTTCTCCCGTAGTACGTTCCTGCCAGTGGTGCTGGTCAACACATCCGCATGCAGCATTGACAGGCCCAGAGAGAGAAGCCTACAAAAGATAGCCACAAATGCACACACTTAGTCATTAACCATGAAGGTAATACGTAAAAACAAATTGTACAAGAGCTTCACATGACAGCGTCAGACAAACAATACCATGCCGTTGATGAGGAACATGACTAGTTCAAACTTTGAATATTATAATAATTATCCTACTGTAAAGCGTCAAAATTGCCACCTGAATGAATTTTTATTTTACAACTGACCCAGAAAATCAAGACAAAGTAATCTAGTGCTGCTGTGGAATATTTCAGTACTTTGATAACAATCATCATCTTCACCATCAGCCATGATAAATCCATTGCCATCTCTTACGATGGAGAAGCCCTGTGAGCCATGCGGCTCTCGAATCAGGTGCAACCGCAACAAACAAAAACATGAATAAAGAACATCTTAAAGTGACTACGTGCAACAGAAAAATCCAGGAAAAAACACCGTATATCAACACTGTGGGCAAAAATCCCAGTGGGATGCAAGTCAAACAATAACAACCATAAGACAATTCAGAATAAAGTTATCAGGCTAACTGTGTACTTCAACAAACAAATATGGCTAAACCATACGTTTTTGAAATCACCAAAATAAAGCTATTAAAACAATGTAACAGTGATCATAGGAACTGATTCAAATTTAAAATAATAAACGATATACATAATATGTACGACCAAACTTTGCAGCCATAGCTGGCAGCATGAGTCACTCCATAACAGCAGGAGTATCCGCAGGAGTATAGAAAATTTTCAATGCACCTTTAAAGATCAGCACACTACAATAAAAACTCAAGATCATACTTTGCAGCAGTCATCCGTAGTGATGCATTTGATTTCGGTACACTCTGCATAGCAGTGGCAGCTAGGGGTGTACAGCTCCTCAAAAGCAGTTTTGAGGGAAGTTGCAGTTAATTGGCGATAGCATTCCATACCCTGGGGGCATCAATAGCAAAGGCTCTTCCTCCAGTATTTGTACGGAATTAAGGAATGTGAAGCTGGTAAATGAGCGAAGACCTTAGGTCACATTTGTTATTCGAAACAGTGAAGAGATCCAGCAGGTAGTCTGCTGATTTTTTTGTAAGTACATCGTGAATAAATAAGATCTGATGCACAAGCCGTCGATTATGAAGAGATGTTAAGTTTGACCCAATGTAGAGATCACAGTGGTGGGTCCTATATGGGCAGTTCAATGCAAATCTTAAGGCCGAAAGATAAATTGAGTCAAGCTTCTTCAGTACAGTACTGGGGGTTGATTTATATACGATGTCACAGTATTTTTCGATTTAAAGCTTTCTTGACTGCAGGGATTCATATTCTTGGTTCTTTCGGTAAAGTCACGTAGAATGAAAACAATAAAATAATAAAAATGAAACAATTCAATTATCACGACGTTTCGATTGCAACACAAGCAATCAGCATCAGGTGTGAAACCCACAGCAAGAAATTTGAAAAAAGTGGCGTTTTTTTAACGGTAGCACCACGGACAGCAACTAGCGGTTGTTCAGACGGACGAGTCCATCTATGCTCGGAACGGAGGAGGGGGGGGGGAGAGAGAAGAAGAATTGAATGCGGTCTGAAAGTCACCGTAAAGCGTGAACACAATCAATTAAGACCCGAAATGGTTTATCACATCCTTCCAATGATTGCTAAGCCAGAATCCACCTTCTCGGTTGAAATTGCCATGCATTAACTCGGGTGTCCTCAAGTGCAACTGACGTGTTTAAGGTAATTAAATGAAAACTGACTTGAAGCGCGGGCCGATGGCAGCCACGTGTCGGTTGATACCACTGTCGGGCCCTCCCACGGTGAGAGACAGGGAGCGCTGCAGGACACTGGAGAAGATCTCCACCTGGTCGGCGCTGCAGTACTTTGCGATCTCAAACCGCTGCACCAGAAACTGCGAGAGATAAAAAAACAACGCAATGACACAAATAAGCGTAAATCAACAAGCGGGTTCAAAATATCTACATGACGGGAGAACGCATCATAACAGAAAAGCTCGTGGACGCCGGAAATCAAAGGGCGTCAATGACTCGGCAATTTTCACTGTGTGTACAAATAGCTCTTGGCCCTATACAGGAAACCACCAGTTCAGAAGAACTGCATTTTGGTAATTTTGTCATCGGTAGATCACCATCGATAAATTGAGAAAATGTTATCAACCATCAGGCATTAATGACTGTATTATACTGATGATTCCTAATAAAGGATGAGACCGGTCTAAAGCTGTGCCTGTGTCTCACTGCTGCCTGTTGGTTGTATTTATTACATTATTTAGACTAAAGCAGCTCTTCCTTTTTCACGATTTTAAATAATCATTAAAACGTAATTTATCTAAATACCATAAATACTGTGTGATCATATTTTGATTTAAAGCTTTCGTGACTGCAGTAATTCATATTCTTAGTTTTTTCGGTAAAGTCACGTTGAAGCGAAACAACAAAATAATAAAATATATATAAAACAATGAAAAATTATCACGACGTTTCGACCATAACTCAAACGGTCGTCGACCGTTTGAGTTATGGTCGAAACGTCGTGAGAATTTCTCTTCAACGTGACTTTATAGAAACAACAAAATAATAATAATATATATATAAAACAATGATAATAATATATATATAAAACAATGATAATTTGTTTTATATATATTTTATTATTTTGTTGTTTCTCTTCAACGTGACTTTACCAAAAAAACTAAGAATATACTGTGGGATCATGTTTAGAAAATATGGAAGTAAAGATGACGTAAAAGCTGATGATTATTTGATGATATATGACAATGACATTATATCACTGTCATACCCATGTGTTATGGGCACCAAGCTCTTAATGGAAATTATGATATACATGCTTTGTGATACTTTTTTACAGTGAAAGGCAATCTATAAAGGCTGTCTGTTGCCCTTGTGTGCATGTGTATGAATCACTGTTTATCCACGTGTCTGTGATGTCCTTCACTTGCTGCTCTGTTACGTGTCATTGTTTAGTTTTCTTTTTTATCCGACTATATTTTTCTCAACTGTGGTTTGTAACGGGCATTCAGATTCCGTGGCATTCACACACTGAATGCAAATACTTCGTGATGAATAACAGAAAGTGATAACCAATTTAATTGGAGTTCAATTAAAAGAGACTGATTTGTTACTGGAACAGTCATGTCTAAATGTTGTAAGGTGTCCAAGCCTGTTGCCAAAACTAATCAAGATAAGCGAGTCTGAGATCAGCATGTTGTGCTTCTGTAACACCCCAGAACCACACTTTATCAAATATCCGATGCCACGCCTACATCTTGTTTCGATACACCGAGAGATAGCAAAGATGCATAAGAATAATTGACACCTCAATCCACAGCTGGTGTGGGGTGATGGAAGGAGGGCATGGGCATGGCTGGCTCTCCTCCGAGGCAGCCAGAGGGTCTGCCTCCTTTTGGTCAGGGGAGAAAAGTCCCATACGCTTCTCCACCGTCATCTGCCAAGCACCCACGACCTCCCGCAAGAACTGCGCAGCAACACAGGGAGAGAGACTCAGGTAAAAATAGCAGAGCCGACGAGCTATTTGCTAAAAGAGACAACAGTACGTTGCAATGACAAGTTGACGGCACGTAAATGTTTGTTTTTACACATTGCACCTTAGTAACTGATATGAAGGTTAATTGGTTACTCTGAACTTTTTCTTTCATTTCTTGAAGAAAAATGTATTGGACAATAATGAGGATTATATGTCTGGTCCACTGAGAACAATTCATGTACCAATCAAGCATTAAAAAAATACATATATTAATTTCACTTAGGAGTATATATTTTATAACGTCTCATGGGTCGCAAGGACGGTAAATCCATCAACAGTCCATTAGTGCATGGTCAAATTGGTCATACCCTTAACAACTCACAGCTATCTAGTTGCCCTAAATAAAGAATCCTTGCATCTCATACAGCATGGGAAAACACACACTTTCTGTTTTGCAACGAGACACACCCTGGTTTCCTGGCATGGCTTCGCGGCAAGCAGCCACTCCCAGCAGGCAATGGCTGCCTCCATGCCAGCATCAGTGAACATCTCTTGTGGCGCCCAGCTGAGATGATGGAGCAGCTGCAAATCACACTCTGAGATAAAAAAAGCATGACACATTATAGAGCCTCACTCAAGTCCTACTCGTATGCTTTGACAAGTTTTATTTCAGGCTTGCTTAACCTCCCCCCCCCCAATCACTGCACATGTATAAATTATTTGAATTGCAGTTGTTACTTTTACAGAAGTGTAGCCTATGGCCAAATTAGGCAGAATGTGCCCATTCTCATCAGATCTTGGAAGCTAATCCGGGTTGAGTCTGGAGAGTGTTTGGAATGATAACAATCCGTGAATGCCAGGTTGTCATAGGCTGTAGCGAGGTTGTACTACGTTCTGGGCAGCAGAGGACAGTGCAGCAACATGCAGTGATGAACTGTAATAAGTTCCAAAGTCGATGCTCTCCGACTTTACCAATCCACACTGACCAGTGTGATGACTTAGCGTAGTAAAGCAATGTTGACCATAATGCACAAAACAGGGTGTTATAGGCGCTGGGGCTATTTAATGGGCAGCAGATGGTAATTAGTTGAATCGCAAAGGGTGTGAATGCTTACACATATAATTTCCATATTCATACTTTGGTCATCTGTAAATGTATTAAATGCCTATAACTACGTGGAATAAAATAGCTCACGATTAAATTCGTTTGTATCGTGCACAAATGACAAATGAAAAGTGCACGTAGCACAGAGACCACGCCGGTTACCCTTGCTGTTGATGAGCAGAGCGGCGAGTTTGAACATTCCCTGCGTGTAAGCCTCTGGGTTTCTGGAGCTCAGGGCATCATTGAGTTGTTTAACGAGCAGGCGATTGAGGTCGCCTTGACTCCCCATGATGGTGTACATCTCCATCATCCCCGAAACCTACCAACCCAAAAGAAAGGAACATATACAGATGCAGCACTGGATTTTCCCAGTAGGGATGTGTCTGTGTTGAGATTTAGGCAAATAGGGGCATTTCTTTTTTTTAATGCCGACTTGAGTGCTGTGCTAAACTCTGAATTGGACAATTTTATATGCCCGGAAATCATGGCCACAAAATATAAAAATATTGGGTAGTTAAGGAAATTATCAATGTCCACTGAGACTAGAATTCTTATATTATCAATAATGTATTACTAAAAGGCTTCTGTCTAAGCCATTAAATAAATAACTGATCATAAATGTAACAAAGAAGTATCATGCAAAAATTAATGTAAAAAAAGCACCTTCAAAATATATGATTCATAGAAACAATAGGGTTATTTATAAATATCACTCAGAAGCATAACTCATATCAATCAACAAAATGAGTGACAGGTTAGAGTGATGATAGATGTTTTGTTGCTATCTTTCCTTAATGCGGCAAATTGGTTTAAGTGTATCAATTATGCACAGCATTTTCAATCCGTGCCTTACCTCCCCTGCATATCTGTTGCGGAGATTGAGCGATGCCATGAAACTGGAGTAATCCTTCTTCACACAGCCCGGCCGGTCATGCAATAAGTTGCTCTGCATTAACAAAATAAGTTTGAGGTTATCAATGAACGGCCGAGTAAGAAATGGGAAAACACATGCCGGATTTTGTTTAACCTTAGGGATATCGAAGGTTGTTAGAAATGTACATAATTTGAGTAATTACGACCAAAACCATAAACATAAAAAGCATGAAGTACACCCCAGATAAAGAAGTACAATTCTAATTAGGGTGAGAAAGTTGGCTCATTTTCCGTCACCTGACCTGTGTGCAAAATTCAGCTGAGCCGATGTGCAATTTGCAAGCAAAAAGGCCATATATCAAAATAAACAAACCTGAGGCAACAGAGACGAAGTTGACTAAAATGCAGCAAAGTATGCAGCGTGGCGGAAAAAGGGAGGGGATATGGTCAGAAAAAAGCCAACGCATATGGGTCAGTGCAGCATGCAATGAGCTATTTCATGTTACAGGGAGCCAAAATGTTGATCGTGCAATTTCATTACATTTTACCAAATCCCTCAAAAAATGTTTTTTTTGTAAAAGGCTCCCTAACATTCTTAGTTTCCCATTGGTATGTTAAGATTAGCTACTGTCCACCATAGCTGTTGTGACTTGACAAATGATAAGACGGGAGTTGAATAATTCTCGTTAAAAGAATGTGTAAATTAGGCACGCAATGATGCAACAACTCATAGTTTAATGTTGATCTTCATGCTCATGATACGTGCATCGAATCATGTCTGTAAGAACCGATTAATGACATTTTATACAAACGATATGTAAATGTTATGTCACATGGCGGTTAAAGTGAGGGAAATGAGACGGAACAAATGAGACAGAACAAATGAGAAAAAATACAAACGAATTCGTTAAAAACAAGACAATAGTTTAATGAAAAAAAATCAAATCAAATCGTGACCCCGGCATTGTGACCATTCATCAAATCGCTGATGGGAGATAGGAACAACTGTGACGGGGATAGTGTGAATATTTTCAACGAGACGTTGCATACTCACTCCGAGGCTGGCATTTTGACGATTGAAGCCGGCAAACTGCAGAATGCTTTCGATTGCCATTGCCAGGCCAGTGTGCTGTGTGAGTCCTGCAGCCCAATTCTGATGCTTGTTCAAATATTCCTGAAAATTTTGAACAAAAAATATATTTTAGGAATCATAAAGCAAAAACGACATCGAAAGGTTACTTTTACAATGGCGTACAATCAACATGGTATTTTTTTTCCCTTCTAACTATATATATGACAATAGTATTTGAAATTACGTTCAAAACGTATTTGTAGACAAATATTTCAAAATGAAATGGCAGGGTGGGATTAGAAGATTGTAACGACAGCAATGGATGCAGTCGGTGGCAAGAGATCGCTAAGAGTTGAAGATATTGATGGAGGCCTTGCCCCAGCAGTGGAATGTTAACCATTAAGAAATAAACAAAGAGACGTATTCGTCAGGTCAGCTTACATCCTTCACACATTGCAATATGTTTAAAATACAAGTCTCTCTTGAGGCCGGGAGTTAAAGTCAACAGCACAAGGATATTGGTTATGATGCACACCTGCAGATGGGATTTGGTCACTGAAGGAGCCCACTTCATGGCTTCTTGCAAAATGCCAGCGCATCGAGCAGCAAAGTCACGCACAATGCTCTGAAAACACAAGATCCTTTAGGTTTATTTCAATTCGCGTTGTATGTGGCTGAATAACTTCGTAAATAATGCATGTATTGCGTTAGCAGATAGGGAATCAAGTTGCCATTAAAAAAAATAACGTTTATAATGCAGGAGATTATTTCTAAATTTTGATTTAAAGCTTTCGTGACTGCAGGGATTCATATTCTTTGTTCTTTCGGTAATGTCACGTAGAAGGGACACAATATATTTTTTTATTTTATTGTTTCCCTTCTACGTGACTTTACCGAAAGAACCAAGACTATTTCTAATTATGGTTGAAATCACCGACATTCTCGCTCATAGTGAATGCATCTTTCAATCACCTGGGAATTTCACGAAAAAAATAGAAAAGGGCACGTGTTAATTTATCTTCCATTATTGTCACTTTTCATAACAACATCCGAAGTGTCACTTTCAACATGTTTCATTTTATCTCATACAATGAAACAAACTATTCATTACCTCTCTGGCTTCAAAGGTGTCAGGAACTGTGATGATGTATGGCGTGTCAGGAATGGAGTAATTGGGCTTGTCTTTGTGAAGATCCTGTGAAAGTACACCACACAACATATAGTTTGCCCTTTAATTAGCGGTCTATATAGAGATACATAAAACATGTAACTATTAAAATTATAGCACAGCTATCCATCTGATTAGTAAAGTAATTCTTAACTTTACTAAATAATTGTTTGAATCCTTAGATGTTTTATTACTAAAATATTTCACCTGGAAAATCCCTTGAGATGGAACGTCTAATTTTCAATCGTGTCCATGTTGACAAATGACACGTAATGACATTTTAAACTATCACTTATTCAGTTCTGTTCCCACGTGTCTTGCTGGATGAGAGGTAATGGGCGCGCTTGATGATCTCATTGGCATCATAAGCTGTGTCACACAGGGAGTGGCTTAGCTAATATTGGGATTCCCACCTTCGGGAGGTAGGATGTGGAGTAGGCAACTATTTTGAGGTCCGAGTGAACAACAACAACAAGATATTCTATGACAATTTTGCGTCGATTCATCAAATTAATCAACTAATTGTAACGGGTCAAATTAAAATGTAGGTTTTAGTGTCTAGCCATGGAGGAAATACCCAAATGCCCTTCCTCACATCTACGTAAAGACTATACAAATTCAAGTGTAATTAAATAAACACCTGTTATAAAGTTTAGTCATCTGATTTTATTTATGCAATTGGAATTCATACCGCACTCAGAGAGAGGGAGAGAGTCTGCAGAATGTCCAGCATGGTCTTCAGCACAGTTCCGCTCCACAGCATATGTGGGAACCTGAAACGTCATAATTTGTTTTCAATGTGCAATAATTGCAAGCAGTACATTTAATTTAAAATCCAACTTCAATTGCTGTGGCTGCGATAATTGATATCATGATGATTGCATGATGTTCATATTACGACGCTTATCTCATGTTGATGTTTTAAATGCTGTATGCTGCAGGAATATGTGATACTGACTTATCCACCAGCCCAGAAAGGTACTTGTCCGATACTCTCCGAATGCGTTTGTGGATGTGGTTAAAGTTGACCAAGAGAAACTGTGCATGTCGTTCCAACTCTTGCTCATTTTCCTTGGTCTTCGGCTTTAAACATGCACAAACAGATAGGCACAGACAAACAAATACAAAGACCACCCTTAAAGTCAGATGCAAGACTCTTGGGGAAAGTCTTGCTAGTGACCACCTACGAAGGTCAACATGACACACAAGGGGGTGATGTGGCCAGAACCACATCTGGCTGGCTTTGTCTCCCCAGTGGAGACAAAGATACATTGCACCAAGTACTCATTTGAGGCTGGGTCGATATAGGGGAGGCCTAAGACTGGCTCATATTTCATCACTGATGTTGACCATGAGTGGGAATTGAACGCGGGTCGCCAGGTTTGTACCGCAGCGCACTAACCACTACAGGTCCCCAATCACACAAACACACACAAATATATACTTGAACGTCTGGCAATTTTTTTTATGTTAAAAGTGATTAATTGTACGAACAATTTCAAACGTACCTTCTCAGCCATAACATGCAAGAATACGTAAAAAACTCGGTCTGCTACAGCCGCCACACACTGCATCATCCCTGAAGAACAGATAATGAAATTGTTAACCACGTACTCTTGAACAATGCATCCACAAGATGGCACTATGAGTATGTTATCAAAATGCTTCACCTCATCATTAAGCAATATTTTAATTCAAGTAAAGGTCTGGGAGCAAACATTACACTGAAGTAGATAACTGGTAAATAAGGTGAATGTTACATAAAATTAGACTGTTCATAATAAAGTGTTCTGCATATACCACTTGCCTGCCTTATCCTTTTGGATGGCTCTGTCCTCCAGATAAAGGAACATCACTTGAAACCTATCCTGGTCCACTGAATGTGACACCCTGTAATTACATAAAAAATATATATATTAAAAGAGACATGATTTCATTCTTATCGTTGTAATTACATTGTCTGACAACGGGACAGTGGAATGTTCTGAAATATTCAATTTAATTAAGACCATATGAAGAGAAGTTTCATGCTGCTTTGAAAATTAGAAAATGTGGACGGAGCAAGATAAGTGGTGAGTAGTGACATTGTATAAATGCATATACAATACACTGTCTCTACGAGGACAAATAATTCAAAGGGGGATGAACACAATCTAATTTTCAAGGGTGTCCATGGTGTCAATGACATGTAAATTACATGTATACACGCATTTAAAACTATAACTTATTCAATTATGTTCCCACGTGTGGCTGGACGAGAGGTAATAGTGTGTGTGGGAGGGGGGGGTGTGCTTGATGACATCATTGGCAGCATCAGCTGTGTCACACAGGGCGTTGGCTAGTATGCCAACTAGAAGTTACATGTCGAACCACATCAACATTTATATATGTCCCATATGCCCCATATTTTATTTTATGCTTGTGAAACATGTTTTTTTCTCACCACACTGAAGTCACAGACTTTAGGGGCCATCCATTTAGTTACGTACGCAAAAATCTGTCAAAACTTGACCTCTCCCTGTACGCACGCGTACTTTTTATAACCCCCCCCCCCCACCCGTACCTGCGTACGAACGCTTGACGCACCCCCTCCCCCGAATCCTATAGAACGGCCGATAATTAATCCACGCAGAAACGATCAAGGATTAATCATATTGACGTGTTTAAGCAAAGATAGTCCACCGCCGGACTATCTAACTAATTTGAAGGCCAATGTAGACACATTTTTATCGAGGTTTAACCCCCCCCCCCCCCATTCCCTATGCGTACCTATATTGTCAGTAGACCCCCCCATACGCAAGCGTACGTATTTGGGTTAACCACCCCTCCCCCCTCCATGCACACGTACTAAATGGATGGCCCCTTATCACAGTGCAGTCGCAACGGCAGATTGAACCAAACTGGCTTCACCTCTTGAACAGCATAAACAGCTGTCCCAAGCAAACATCAACAATTACCCAACAAGTGTGCTGGACTGTGGCAGTTAAGCGAGTGTGAAGGTCTTAAAATGTTCTAATGTCCACACATTATACAATGTCATCTTTGTCATATGACGAGAAAGAAAGGCAAGAGGACCATGGTGTTTGCATAATGTAGAAGTGCCTCGTGATTTTTTGTGTGTTGCGTGAAAGTTTAACTTACCGCATGTTCTCAAGGCGGTAAACAGACAGCAGGTAGGTGGACATGGCAAAATCCAGCTTATTGATGAGCGCAATTACTTCCTGAATTGGATCCAAAAGGTTTGCGTTGCTCATCCGCAGCTCAGTCAGTTCCGCCTAGAAGTACACAGGCAACATATAGCTAGGTATAATAAAAATGTGGGCAATAGAGGTAATTGGAGGTGCAATGAATCGCCCCTTTCATGATTCATAAAATTTTCACAATTCCGGGTAGTGATTTCATTCCAGTGCAGATAATTTTCTTCAACACTTTAGTGATTTTAAATAGTTCTTCGGGGTGGAAGGTCAACGAAACAATCACAGACATCAACAAATGGGAAACATTAATTTCCGACAAATGCCATTTGATGAACAAATTATGAGGTGTTAAGAAACGATATTAATCGGCGAATTGATGCATCGATAAACCGCTATAGGCAATGCAAGTTTATTTTGCAACTAAATCAATCAATATCAGTTGTTTACAAATTAAAACAGAGAGAAATACATCTGAACAATAAATCTCCGAAATGGCTCTATGTTACGTGCTGTAGGTGAAACTACGAGTGGCCAGCAGGAGACATAGCACTCCCAAGCTAACGGTCGTGCGAGACCAGCGGGAGGTGGAGACACACGGGGGAAAAGGCGAGAATTAGCTTAATCGCGACTGTGAGTTGGTTCGCTGGAGACAACAATTACAATTTCTACAAGATTAAACTACATTTTTTTCTTTTCGATTTAAAGCTTTCGTGACTGCAAGGATTCATCTTCTTTGGTTCTTTCGGTAAAGTCACGTAGAATGAGAATAAAATAATAAATTGATAAAATAAAATAACACAATAATATTCTCACGACGTTTCGGCCACAACACAAGCGGCCTTCATCACCTGATGGGTAGAATTGTGAAATAAATCACCTGATGAAGGCCGCTTGTGTTGTGGCCGAAACGTTGTGAGAATATTATTGTGTTATTTTATTTTATCAATTTATTATTTTATTTCACCTGATGAAGGCCGCTTGTGTTGTGGCCAAAACGTCGTGAGAATATTATTGTGTTATTTTATTTTATCAATTTATTATTTTATTCTCATTCTACGTGACTTTACCGAAAGAACCAAAGAAGATAATTTTTTTCTGAGCTGTAAGGATAATGCAACTAGAAAACATAAATACTTCGCAATGATACATGTTTCTCATTGTATGTGTATGCTAACATTTGACTATATTGAAAAGTAATACTGCGTGTACTGTAAAAGCCAAATGTTTAAATACATTTATTTCACAATTCTACCCTTTCTACATCCCCATTTGGTGTAAATTCTTGACTCATTATTGTGCATTCACATAATATCAAGCTAATTTTTATACATACGAAAAAATACATTCATTTTAACAAGTTCATCTTCAGTCACTTATTATTCCAGTTCTTTGTCAATCTGTTTTTGAATGAAGGCATCCCCACTCAATGTTGCCCATAGGGTTTTGTTGGCCATACTTGACCATACTTCACCACAATGGTCAGTTCAGTGAAGGAGGGGTCCAAGAACGAATGAAGATATCACTCGTCACTGATGTTAACCACAGCTGGGAATCAAACTCGTGTGGCCAGGTTCATTGTGTGATTTTCTAACCACTGTGCCACCACTACCCCCATTGTGTTATAATGGTACACAACATTAAGTCACTTCAGATTCATAATTACTCTTGGACCAAACAAACAGCACCAGTGCCCCTTAGTAGCAGTACCAGCCTCAGGCTGAAGAGTGTAAAAATAAAGTATGCTCTTACATGATTTTTACTATTACGCATGTCTGCCTTCCCTCATATATTGACGGGTTCACAAAATTATCTCCGAGACCTCTAAAATACTCCATCACTCTTTTTGTGGCCCTCAATGATTTTCCCAGCTCTCACTTTGGCACCACCAGCTTACAAAGTAGCACACCCTGGGCAATCGCCCAGCATCGCCAACCATTACATCCCGATGAGCTGACTTACCGCAGACACTGTGTCATTTTTTAGAGCCGAATTGTACTGCAGCTCCGATCGCAGTGGCTCGCCGCTTGGGAAGGTCAAGAGCGGAGACTTGGTGGCGATTTCACAAACTCCTTCATACCATTCCTCTGGCCAAAGCCCTAATTTGAAAACAAATACAACATCATGACCGGGAATTAAGCAACTGATGTTTTATTATATTCTTGGGTCTTTCGGTGAAGTCACGTAGATAGGTTCAAAGAAAATAACGAAAAATAACAAAACACGGTGACGTTACATGATGATTGTTAAATGTGTCAGTTCAACGCATAAGAGATTTTTGTAAGGATTTCTTAAATATAATTTTTCACGTGGTATTAAATGAGCTGGAATATATTTAATAAATTTGGTAGATTAATGCAATTAAACAAAATAGAGCCTTCTTGAAAATTAAGGGGCATAATACATCATAAAATAATTACAGTACTTTTAAATATACATTCGATAGAGCTAATAAATTAGTTTGTATAACAAATGTAAAGGACCTTAACTTAAATTCTGTAAATTAAAACGGTAATCCTGTATTTTAGTTTGTTATGACTTAAATAACACTACACATTTTGATTTAAAGCTTCCGTGACTGCAGGGATTCATATTCTTGGTTCTTTCGGTCAAGTCACGTTGAAGGGAAACAATACAATAATAAAAAATATATATATTTTTATTATAAAATAATAATATATTTTTAATTATAAAAAATATATTATTATTGTTTCCCTTCTACGTGACTTTCCCGAAAGAACCAAGAATATGAACACTACAGACATCATTTTGAAAAAATTGATTACTCAAGTTACATTTCAGGGTGCAAATTTAATAGTGCCATCACACTGCCATCAAGTTGAATAACAAGTGGTATTGTATTATTGGTATGTAATATCAAAGGAGGAACAACTTATTTATAAATTTCACCACATGTAAAATCAAAGCATCATCATTTTATGTGTTTAATAATTAATGTTAATCTTCCATTCCTTTCCATTTATCGTGGTCAAGGTATATGCAACTAAACTGTAAAATTATTATGGAAATTTTACATCATATGCAATGTATATTGCATATACCAAACCACCACTGGATAAAGGTATTCCTATGCAATGCTGTTCGTGGGTGTTACCTTGACAGTGCCTCAACACAATTGGGTCAGTGTGCGTCGGTGAGGGTGGGCAGCATCGGCTTAGGAGTGTTGAAGTATGCAGTGTAAATGTATCAAAATTAAGTAATAATTTTGGTTGTAAAACAAATTAAAATTAACTGCTTGACTGAACGGTATATTTATATTATATTCATTGCACATACAGTGAGGGAAAAAAAGTATTTGATCCCCTGCTGATTTTTTACGTTTGCCCACTGACAAAGAAATTATCAGTCTATACTTATAATGGTGGGTTTATTTGAACAGTGAGAGACAGAATAACAACAAAATCCAGAAAAACGCATGTAAAACATGTTATAAATTGATTTGCATTTCAGTGATGGAAATAAGTATTTGACCCCCCCTCAATCAGAAAGATTTCTGGCTCCCAGGTGTCTTTTATACAGGTAACGAGCTGAGATTAGGAGCACACTCTTTAAGGGAGTGCTCCTAATCTCAGCTTGTTACCTGTAGAAAAGACACCTGTCCACAGAAGCAATCAATCATTCAGATTCCAAACTCTCCACCATGGCCAAGACCAAAGAGCTCTCCAAGGATGTCAGGGACAAGATTGTAGACCTACACAAGGCTGGAATGGGCTACAAGACCATTGCCCAGCAGCTTGGTGAGAAGGTGACAACAGTTGGTGCGATTATTCACAAATGTAAGAAACACAAAAGAACTGTCAATCTCCCTCGGCCTGGGGCTCCATGCAAGATCTCACCTCGTGGAGTTGCAATGATCATGAGAACAGTGAGGAATCAGCCCAGAACTACACGGGAGGATCTTGTCAATGATCTCAAGGCAGCTGGGACCATAGTCACCAAGAAAACAATTGGTAACACACTACGCCGTGAAGGACTGAAATCCTGCAGCGCCCGCAAAGGTCCCCCTACTCAAGAAAGCACATATAAATGCCCGTCTGAAGTTTGCCAATTAACATCTGAATGATTCAGAGGACAACTTGGTGAAAGTGTTGTGGTCAGATGAGACCAAAATGGAGCTCTTTGGCATCAACTCAACTCGCCGTGTTTGGAGGAGGAGGAATGCTGCCTATGACCCCAAGAACACCATCCCCACCGTCAAACATGGAGGTGGAAACATTATGCTTTGGGGGTGTTTTTCTGCTAACGGGACAGGACAACTTCACCGCATCAAAGGGACGATGGACGGGGCCATGTACCGTCAAATCTTGAGTGAGAACCTCCTTCCCTCAGCCAGGGCATTGAAAATGGATCGTGGATGGGTATTCCAGCATGACAATGACCAAAAACACATGGCCAAGGCAACAAAGGAGTGGCTCAAGAAGAAGCACATTAAGGTCCTGGAGTGGCCTAGCCAGTCTCCAGACCTTAATCCCATAGAAAATCTGTGGAGGGAGCTGAAGGTTCGAGTTGCCAAACGTCAGCCTCGAAACCTTAATGATTTGGAGAAGATCTGCAAAGAGGAGTAGGACAAAATCCCTCTTGAGATGTGTGCAAACCTGGTGGCCAACTACAAGAAACGTCTGACCTCTGTGATTGCCAACAAGGGTTTTGCCACCAAGTACTAAGTCATGTTTTGCAGAGGGGTCAAATACTTATTTCCCTCATTAAAATGCAAATCAATTTGTAACATTTTTGACATGCGTTTTTCTGGATTTTTTTGTTGTTATTCTGTCTCTCAATGTTCAAATAAACCTACCATTAAAATTATAGACTGATAATTTATTTGTCAGTAGGCAAACGTACAAAATCAGCAGGGGATCAAATACTTTTTTCCCTCACTGTATGCAGACATGCAGTAAGTCGAAGCAAAGACTTTGATCATTGTGCAATAGGCATGAAGCAGCATATCATAAGTTTAAATCTATTCTATCTCTTGCTCTTCATGATGGATAAAACCATGAAATGATAATCTATTATGATTCATGTAAATTATATGCTTGTGTTATCCTTCGGTTAATTGAGTGAATAGAACTACGCAAACGATATTAAATAGAAACACTCCAAATTACGACTGCGAAAAGTAAACGATTCTTAAATCAAGCCACAGCCTTTGGATCGTGACATTTCATCACATCGCTGCAAGGGTGATTCATTATATACGCACCGTGTGTGGAAACTCTTTGAAAAAGACTAACTAAAGGGACAACGCGTTACTGAATTTTACCTGAACCCTGTACAGCAAAGCCCATGACGACGCAGTAGAACCAGAAGTCTCTGAAGAGCTTGTGTAGTCTTGGCTTGGCTTCCTTAATCGGAGGGAGCCTTCGTGTCAGCTTGTAAACACACACACACAAAAAACAAAACGAGAATTTTTTTTTATTTTATAACTCAGCAAAGTAGATGCCGAAATTGTTTGTAAACTCTCCAATATAACGTACATAGCCCATGATGTAATCAAATGCGTTCTGAGATTAATTAGTACCGCTCATGATGCTGATGTTAATGTCAAACAAATGTAGCTAAAATGAGGATCAAGTGATGGCTTGCATCCTAAAGGAATATTTATTTCCGTCTTCACGCGAGTGGACCTATATAACGTCAGCCATTTGTCCATAGTTAACGAAATGGGCCTCACTGATACTCCCAGAGCTCATCAACACAAACCAAGTAAGATGGTATTTAGGATATTTTGAAGGATCTTAAAACCACTTTGTGTGTGAACGTGACATTCCGTTGTGAATCAAAGACATGGGAGACACGGGAACTCTCATAAAACAGAATTGTATATTCTTCGGTAATACAAAATACTTAGCATGGCTTAAAAAGCCTTTTAAACCACTGTCCCACAATAGTGATTTTTTCTCCACTTTCCTTGAATGAAAAAGCAGCATAAAAAGAAGTAATATATAAGGTAACAAACATACGTTTGCATGTTTTACACAATGAGCAGTCAGGCCAATTCTGCTTAAGGCTGCAATTTTGAAAGGTCACAAACGTTTATTCAGTGACCCTCTAAATATTTACCCAAGATCTCTGGCATAAAACAGTGGGATCCAGGGCCACAGGAAATTCATTACTCCACAAGTCAGGTAAGCAATTAACTTCTAACAAAATAACCCAACACTTAAAGAAGGGATTGTATTCAAATATGCAAGAAATGTCTTACTTTATGTGAAAAAAATACTTGCTGGGTTATACTGTAAGAATGTGTTTTTATTAATCATTGACTCAACTAATCAACGTGTTGCATTGGTAGACAGTCGCAGTTAACAAACTTTAATACTTTTTTATTTCCTTAACATTTATATTTTCTCTGTGTATGTTTTGTTTGTAAGATGAAAATATATAATAGAAATTTAATTAGTTTTTTGTTAAATAAACGATGTATATTTAAGAAAATGTCTACTTAGTAAAACCATAATCAAATGATTAAACGGGATTGAGTCACTCTGCCATTGTATATGCAACTGTGGACAGTAAACTGATGTACATAAACTGAACAGTACTAAACCATATTTTGTATTTTCCAGCCCTTCAGTTAAAAAAAAATGCTACTGATTTTGACTTTACTTCTCTTGGTGACGCCTGCAACGTCCTCAAGAAATAAACACAAGGTAATTCGCGAGAGTAAACACATAGCGATGGTGAACGTAAAATATGCCACACATTCATGATGAAGTCTATTGAAGAGTGTTATCGCCTACTTTGGTGTAAATTGTTTGTCCTTTTTTGGTTTCAAAGGAACATGACTATCCACAGCAAATGGTAGTACCCACGACTTCATTCGCCATGACCCGACTTGCAATGTCTCAAGCCAACTTCGGTTTCGATTTGTACCGTGCCGTTGCGCAAGAAAGCCCTGGAGAAAACATCTTCATGTCTCCCCTGACCACTTCGTTGGTACTTGCCATGCTTACTGCTGGTAAGGGCTGCCTCACTGGTTATCACTACTGCTGCATAACTAATTTGTAAGCACATACGGAAGGTTCACTGATCATTAAACAACACACCGTTTCGCCATCCGTGATAGCAACGCACTGCGCAGTATAATGTACTTGCCATTTACGGGCTGTACTGCCCTATGCTGCATCAACTTTCGCTTAACGATGATGGTGTGCTACTTTTGTGAGCACATTTACGAATGTTCTCTGATCATCTAACAACGCACCATTTCCATCCGTGACAATAATGGACTGCATATTATAATGTAAGTCAGATAATTTGTTATCAGGCACCCTTTTCAGACAAATCCGCCACAAATACATCACGGACAAGCCATGACATTGAAAGGCTGTATATTTGTTGACGTTAAACTTCAATCTTGAATAACTAAGACGAGCTATTAATGAGCTAAAATGTACTTATTTGAAGGGTAAATTACAGCCATGTCGTGGCCCGTCATCTGTGTTCCACTGTCTTATCACAGCTGCGTCATTAACTTTTATCCCACTTGTATTTAGTATTTTTTTATACATATGAACATAATTATGTTTAAGTACATTTTGCTGTAAGTATACACAAATGTACTGTATATTCTGCATTAAAAGTTAGAAAAATATCAATGATGCAGTATATTTAATTCGTACCGTTGGACTGGGGAGTAAACTGGATATTGTGTCTTGTGTTTTAGGGGCTCACGGAGCGACAGAACAAGCCCTTGCCAGAGCTCTTTACTTTACTCATCTTCGCAACCCCAACTTGCACGGCACATTCCGTGACCTCATCCAGAAAATAACTTCTGGGAAAAGTGTGTCCAAAATGGCAGCTCGCATCTTTGCAGCAAGAAGTAAATATGTTTTGTTTTCCATGTGTTCATAAAAACGGACCAAGGGATATTATTGCAAAAATGTAACACAAATGAGGGAGCATTGGCGAAGTGGTTATAAAACTGACAACCTGAGTTTGATTCCTAGCCACAGCTAACATTGGTGGTCGGTGATATCCAAACTGGTTGTGGACCCCCCCCCCCCTATCCAAACCACTTCACCAATCCACAATAACCAGTGTTGTGAAGTATGGTGAAACAACTCCCTCAACCGATATATCGGCGTGGGTAAACCTTCGTGCAGCAGTGCATTGACACAAGATTGAAAACTACCATTAGCATAAAGTACTGTACTGTAAAAAACAAAGAGGTGGTGTGCTTGAACTACGTGACTTTACCGAAATAACCAAAGAGTGTGGTGATGCACCACACTCACTGCAATATATGCTTGGCGGCTCGAGTTTGATTCCTGGCCACAGTGAACGTCAGTGATATCTGAACTGGTTCTGCACACTACCCAGCCCCATCAACCTACCCACATTGACTAGGAATGAGGAAATGTGATTTAAAAAAAAAACCCCATCTTGTACGACGTGGCATGCGGAAGGCCTTCATTCAGCAGTGGATTGACAATGTGCTGTGAATTATTATTTGTGAAGTAACATAATGTGTTCTTCTTTCAGACATTAAAATCAAAAAGGATTTTTTGGATGTAGTTGAACAAAACTACCATGCAAAACCAGAAAACCTCAATGGTCCTGAAGAAAAAGACCTGAAAAGAATAAATAGTTGGGTGGAAGAAAAGACGGATGGGAAAATCAAAGATTTCCTTAAGGAGCTACCGAGCAACTTGAGAATGCTACTTCTGAGTGCTATCTACTTCAAGGGTATAAGAGAGACACACGAGGCTGACTATGAGCCTCCTATTCATCCACTTTTCCATGTTCTGCATAAAATACCTCGCTTTATTTAAACCATTGAACAAAACTATTTATCCTGCAAGCAGATGTGTTTAATGAGAAAGAATATTGCACTCTATGACAGTTGTAATGTTTTATATAGTGGTGCGTCTTTATATTCTTGGTTCTTTCGGTAAAGTCACGTAGAAGGGAAACAATTAAATAATAAAAATATAAAACAATAAAAATTCTCACGACGTTTCGACTGCAGCACAAGCAATCATCATCAGGTGTGAAAACCACAGCAAGAAATTTTTTACATTTTTGAAAATGTTCTTGCTGTGGTTTTCACACCTGATGATTGCTTGTGTTGCAGTCGAAACGTCGTGAGAATTTTATTGTTTTATATTTGTATTATTTTATTGTTTCCCTTTTACGTGACTTTACCGAAAGAACCAAGAATATGAATCCCTGCAGTCACGAAAGCTTTAAATCTAAATTTAAATTCGGTGCATCTTTGTTAATATATATGCTGTAACTTATCTGTGGACATTAAAATAAATACATTTGAAAACATAGCATTATAATTATAGTTTCACAAGTAAGAAGGCATTTGAAATTAACTTTAAAAACGAAGTACTGAAGCTATGTCTAAAAAAAAACCTGTATTATGGATTATTTATGTGTTTAGGGAAGTGGGAACAGCAATTCTATAAAGATAATACATCACCAGTCTGGTTCCATATCAATGAAGAAAACAAAACCATGGTGGACATGATGTATGACTCTATATACCCAGTAAAGGCAGGACGTCATCCATACCTGCCATACAAAGTAAGCTGCATCACTAAAAGCTTTATTGACCAAAAATTCCACACTTGGTTTACTTGACATTTTTGTACATGATAAAGAGGCTCAAAATACCGAATATACTGCCAAACAAAAAAATAAATCCTTGACAAAGACTCCACCATCCACCAGTGTTCCTAAAGAAAAACTGGCATCAAGTTTGTCAACAGTGCCTGAAACTTAGGCATCAAACCTGGCTGACCGTTTCGATCTATACAAATACACCCCCCCGCCCCTAATTTTTCCATTTGCTACAAATAATAAATGTTTTCCTCTTCTGTTTTTTTTTGCATACAGCAATTTGGGATGCAGTCACATTTAAATATTTTATAAGTACATTGTACTGTAATATTGTATTTCACTGGCCACATGTGAGCTGAATGGGCCTGATCCAAGTTGTGTCAGGTCCGATTTTTCCAAAGCAAAACCAGATCCTGGTTGTATATACATGCACAATATATTTTAAAATAAGCTCCCAAAAGCCAGCTCTGCTGTAATGTAAGGGGCCGAGTGACCTCTCACTCATTGTACAAAGTGTTGGGATCCATTCGCATGTGGAGAAGGTGCTCTTATTTAATTTATATTCGGGATTAAAACTAAGTAGTTTTCACTGTTATTATTGATGTTTAAAGTTGAAGGAAGGTTTTTTGAATAGTGTAAGAAATAAATAACCTGAATGAATATCCCCACATGGGAATCGAACTCATAACCTTATAATGAGGACATGTGCTGATTTTGGTTCGCAAAAAAAGATTAAATTGAATCTGTACTACTAACAGTGTAAAAATACCAAGGAACAATCACTGAAACTTCGGTTTAC